GTACCTGCTTCCTCTGAGCACACGTCAGACCATCGGGAGAACTCAGAGAGATGCAGCTCAGGAGTTCACGCCGCGCGTCCTGCAGCACCTGACACACACACACACACGATGAACGAGACATACACGAGACACATGAGCATTATACGAGACACGGAGGAGACATGACAGACATGAGACAGAGGTTACATGAGACACAGTAAGACAGATATAAGATACAAAGGAGACACGGAGGAGACACACACAACAGACATGAGAAACACGAGACAAGACATGGAGACACAATGGAGATATGAGACACACAAGAAACAGAGGAGACCTGAGACAGTAAGGAGACACATATGAGAGACACACGACACGGAGACACGAGACACACAAGACAAAGAACACAAGAGACAGACATGAGACAAGACAGAAGAGGCATGAGACATACGAGACACGAAGGAGACAAGACACAGACATGAAACAAAGAAGACATGAGACAAGGAGACATGAGACTGTTTTGAGATATACACGAGACACAGAAGAGACATGACAAGACAGACCTAAGACACGAGACAAGGAGGAGACAGGAGACTGATAAAAGACACACGAGACACGCAAGAGACATGAGACACACACAGGACACGAAGGAGACGTGAGACACACACGAGACTCGCAAGAGACATGAGACACACACGAGACTCGGAAGAGACATGAGACACACACGAGACACACACGAGACTCGGAAGAGACATGACACACACGAGACTCGGAAGAGACATGAGACACACACGAGACACACACGAGACTCGGAAGAGACATGACACACACGAGACTCGGAAGAGACATGAGACACACACGAGACTCGGAAGAGACATGAGACACACACGAGACTCGGAAGAGACATGACACACATGAGACTCGGAAGAGACATGAGACACACACAGGACACACAAGACACGAAGGAGACAAGAGGCAAATATGAGAAACACACGACTGGGAAGAGACATGAGACAGACAGGAGACACAAGACTCAGAAGACACATGAGACACAAGACATGAAGGAGACATAAGACAGATATGAAACACGACTCAGAAGAGACAAGAGACACAAAAGACATGAGACAGACATGAGACACACACGAGACTCAGAAGAGGCATGAGACACAAGACAAGGAGATATGAGACTCGGAAGAGACATAAGACACACACACACACACAAGACATGAGACACAAGACAAGGAGACATGAGACAGATATGAGACTCGGAAGAGACATAAGACACACACACACAAGACATGAGACACACAAGACATGGAGACATAAGACAGATATGAACCGCACAAGACAGATATGAGACGCACACGAGACATACAGGACACACAGATGACACGTAACAGATCTGACACACACTAGACAGATGAGGCAGACGTCAAGCACAGGAGACAGACTTGAGCACATGTGAGACGAACACAACACTCTAGACAGACATGAGATACAGGAGACACCAGAGAGACGCACACACACACACACACACACACACACACACACACCTGCGGCCGGCCTGCGCTCTCAGCACTCAGGTACAGCTCACTCAGCTTCCTGTAGGAGACGCCGGCGCTGTGGAGGAATCCTGGAGAACTGACCAATCCCTGGAGGAGCTGTGAGTCCACCGCACACAGAACACTGCACACACACACACACACACACACACACACACACACACTCTCAGCAGAGCAGGACAGGAGTGTGGGCACTGACGCAGCGGCGGCTCCTCACCTGTAGAAGGCCAGCGGCAGCAGACGCAGGGCATGATGGGAAATCACACGCGTCCTGAACTCACACAGCTCATGATCTACCACAGAAGAACATCATCATCATCATCATCACATGACCAGTCTAACACACACACAAACACACACACACACACCTGATCCACACTGATCGAACAGCAGCAGCCAATCAGAATGACCCTGAAGACGAGTGAGGAGACACACGCACACGCCTCTGACACGCTCCACACACTCCTGCAAACACACACACACACACACACACACATCAACACTACAGCAGCATGATCACTGAGGCTCTGTGTGTGTGTGTGTGTGTGTGTGTGTTACCTGTTGGCTGAGGTGTGCAGAGATCAGCTCTATTATACTGTAGAGGAACAGGTAGAGCAGCACCTGCAGAGAGATGATTGCCGATTGGTCAACTGACAGACCCACCTCAGCGTGTGTGTGTGTGTGTGCACGTATCACCTGACAGACTCACCTGTGTGTGTGTGTGGTCGAGCTGAGCGAGAGCCGCTGTGGGGTCCGAGTGCTGCAGTGAAGCCTGTAGAGCCGCAGCCAGCAGCCATGATGGAGCCGCTGGAGCCGAGGAGGACAGACCGCCACACACACTGCACACACACACACACACCAGGTTTTGTTTGTGTGTGTTGTACCGTGAGCTCCAGTGGTGTGCATGAGTGTGTGTGTGTGTGTGTGTGTGTGTGTGTGTGTGTGTGTGTGTTGTACCGTGAGCTCCAGCGGTGTGTGTCCTCCAGCATCTGCAGCTGATCAGGCAGTGGTTCTCCAGCGGTGAGACGCCTCCACTGACACACCAGCACAGAGGACACACGCGGCCACCAGCGCTACACACACACAGACAGACACACACACACACAGACAGACACACACACACACACACAGACACACACAGACACAGCGTTCAATGTGTGTGTTTCACTGCTCAGAACACACGGTTATTGTGTCAGTGCTCAGGTACAGCAGAGTAATAAACAGACGCGCAGGTTTATCTGCATCTGCTAAGTGTATCTGGCCTTGGCGTCCCCGTTAGGCAGAGTTAAGCCATAATCCAGACAGCACATGCAGATGAGGGGTGTGTTACCATGGCGGACAGGAGCAGCAGAGGACACCGAGTGCTGAA